AAGGAAGGAAGGAAGGAAGGAAGGAAGGAAGGAAGGAAGGAAGGAAGGAAGGAAGGAAGAAAGGAAAAAGACTTGCAGACCAGAGAAATTTCAGTGATTTGCCTAAGAAGCTGAACAAAAGAGGGGTGCCTGGGTGGTTCAGTCAGTTAAGCGTCTGACTTCAGCTCAGGTCATGATCTCGCGGCTTATGAGTTCGAGCCCTGCATCAGGCTCTGTGCTGACAGCTCAGAGCCTAGAGCCTGCTTCAGATTCTGTGTCTCCTCCTCTCTCTGCCCCTCCCATGTCATGCTCTGTCTCTGTCTCTGTCTCTGAATAATAAATAAACGTTAAAAAAAGCTTTTTTTAAAAGAAGCTGAACAAAAGAAGGCAATTCTTTTTTTTTTTTTTTTTTAACATTTATTTATTTTTGAGACAGAGAGAGACAGAGCATGAACAGGGGAGGAGCAGAGAGAGAGGGAGACAACAGAATCCGAAACAGGCTCCAGGCTCTGAGCTGTCAACACAGAGCCTGACGAGGGGCTCGAAGTCACAGACCGTGAGATCATGCCCTGAGCCGAAGTCGGACGCTTAACCGACCAAGCCACGCAGGCGCCCCAGAAAGCAATTCTTGATTCTTGGTAGGAAGCTTCACCTACCACACAGGGTGTCTTTTTACCTCTTATTAGCAAGGGACATACAAGAAACAACAGCCAAAAACAGAGTTTTACAATACGGGTATCATCTGCCATCTCTCATCTAGAAGCTGCAAGTTCAAACCACTGCAGGTCCCATCATGTAAGAATCCCCACGGTCTGCAACCTTGATATTCAAAATGAGAGGATGAGGTGTGTTTGTTACACCAAAGCAGTGTCTGGACTTTGGAGCTTTTCCCAGGTAGACTGGCTGAGTGTGCCTCCAGAGTTACCCATCTGACTACTCTGTACTCACTTTACTACCAACCTGAAAACACAGAAGCCAAAACTGAGAAAGGCAATCCAAGCAAGCCTCCCCTATACAGGAGGTGTGTGGTTTCACCAACTGAAGTCCAGGCCCATCAAATACCCACAATGGTGTACTTTGATTCCTAAAGAACTCTGCTTTATTTAGGATTTAGATCAGAACATTATTTTGGAAGACGGGGCTGCATCTCCTACGATTCTGAACACACAACCTATATAATCAGTGAGCTGAAAATGAAATGGTTTCTGAATATTCTAAGAACACTTTCCTTAGATGGGTTGTTCCCCACCAATGAGTAAAACTGTATTTTTCTGAAAATGTTACGTTCTCCCCTCCTCCCCCAAAACTTACTCTACGAATTCATGCTCTCCAAGATTGGCAAATGTGTATCCATGGTAGCCAAAAACATCTCCTGTAAAAAACTTGATGCTATTTTTGTGACAGATCTGGTCAACTTTAACTATGACATCCCTGGAGCAGCAAGTCAGACAAACCTGCAGAAAGAAAAAATTCGCTGGGTGTGAGTTTTGCAAACTGTGAATCACTGCCCTGATGTCTAAATAAATCTTAATGAACAGTCTCTCTGGGCATGTCTAAAGCCAGTTTTGAACTGGTATAACAGGTTCTTTGGATCCTATGGTTAGAAGACAAAAGACAAGTTGCAGGTTTCAGGAGAAATATAAATTGCAAGACCTCTACTTTCAGCAATCAAAACAAAATGGGTTTGGCTAGAAAGTAAAAGCTATTCAATGAATTTATTTCCTCTATTCTGTAAACATAAACAAACCACATCTCACAGTTTCCGTGAAGTGGAAAAAAACAGTAACAATTTAGCATAAGTTACTTTTAAATTACTAAATCTATTAAAATCTGAATAAGCTATCACAAGAAGCAAAACCAGTTTTAAGTGACCCAAAGGTCACTTTAAATACGAGGGCATTTTTCCCCCTTCTTCTGATTGATAGGTTAAGATAAAAAAGATAAACAAGTCCCGTTGAGATTAGTTTTCCACAGTTTTCCACAGTTTTCAAAGTGAAACTTTATCTGAATCTGAGGACAAAAGAAAAGGTTACACACCAAGTGACCTTCCATTCAGACGTAGACAATGAACCGGTGATTCACTCAATGGAATTATCAATGTTGCTCTGAGGCCCCTAGGTTGTGTTCCAGTAAGTTGAAGCACTGGAAATAGCTAAGTTTTACGGCATAAAACACCTTTTCAGGAGAAACTCTGTGATATGGGCTATGAAAACAAGTTCCAAATTGCACATGTTTTCTTCTAAACATAGAAAGTTGGAGAAGTTACAAAAGGATATTTTCATTTGACAGAACCTCTTTGCTGCTGTCTGGCAGCCTGAATACCGAAACAGCCCACAGAAATGAGTGCCTCTGGTGTCATTCAAAGGATGCAGCCACCTAAGGGAAAAAAAAATCATATCTAAAAGGCAAGATACCCACAGTTGAACATGCAATCAAGCGACCAAAGGGAACTCTGCAGAGTCAAAAGTGAATGTAAAATCTCCAAGGACCAGTCAAACGTGGCCCAATGAGGCAGTCACCTCACCCAGCACACAGGCTTTATACAAGCAACCGGCCCGGTGCTTCGGTTCTTAGAAACCCTCTCTCTAAGTGCTAGAAATTCAAGGGGCAGCTAGAATTAACTAAATGTGGTTACTATGGATAAAGAAATGAAGAGAAGATGGTGCAAACAGTCCAAACAGAAAAATGTTCCAATACTTGGAAGATACAAGATAGAATTGAAAAAAAAAAAAACAAAAACAGACAAAACGCACAGATGATCCATCATTCCAAGCACATATTTGAACAGATGCACATATGAAATATAACAATGTGGAAAAACAAACTACCCAACCCAAATTCTAACCTCTCGTGTAATGGGCCTTTCATTTAAAAAACAAGTAGATCATCTGTGACTATTTCATGGTTATCCAACATTTGTTTAGCTTTTCCTGGGTCCAGGGAACCATGTCTGAAAGTCACAGACGCTGGAACCGAATTTAACTTATCCTTTCACCTCTCCACAGATCTGGCAGTGAAACCAAATGAGGTTGGATATGCCTCATTTGGCTTATGACTAGTGAATTTGTCTCATTATCCATGGCAACGTGGTCAAAGTGGCTGTGTGAAAGAGACAGACACGGACCAGGATCAGGTGTGCTCTTTTTTTAAGACAAAACACAAGCTGTAGTTTGATATTTCTAACCAAAAAAAAAAAAAGCAAGCCTCTACTACAGAAATTAACTACCAACTTGTTTTTAGGAGAAAACATTTGCAATAAAATGTACCAAAGCTATGTGCAAAGATTCTGGAAGGAATACAAAACACCAATGATGAAACCTGGTCTAAAGGAACATATGCCCAAAGAAGAAATCAGCAGACAGCAAGTCACAAACAGCCACAGCAGAACCAACAGACTGGATCTACCTACTGACACATTCAACGTGGAAAAGCAATATGCTAATAAGGCACATACACTAAGGCAATACAAGACTTGAGACTACAAAGGCAATGTACTGAGCCTAAAGATTTTACACTCTTTATGAAACTTACAGCATCGAACTGAGTGAAAAATGACTCAGGTTTCTTTTCTATATTCTCAGTGTCCACCTTCACATCCACCATGGGGTTGAGATTCTGGGCTCGCTCCAAAGAGGCTTCAGCCCTGTTTCGGCCAACAGATCCAGTACGGATTAGAAACTGAGCTCCGGGGTCTTCTGGAGATACCTAGGAATAATTTTTTTTTTTTTTAATGCTTGAATTTTGGGGAAAAAAAATTTTTCAAAGACAACGAACCCTTCCATTTCAAAGCATAACTAAAATACCTACAATTTAATTGTATTACTGTTCCAGTGGGAATTTGCTTAATGTATCCTCCATACACTCAATCCTTCGAAGGCTTTCAAGTAGAGACATTTTAATTTTTTTTTTCACTTCGCATTGATAGTTAAAGAGCACCCCCTGGTGTTTGTAAAGAAAATTCACTCTAAACAGAAATGTCCACTCTTTCTTCTTCCACGATTAAATCTGTAACTGCTAATAAACCGACATAACTATCAGTGCAAAGCATTTACCCCAAATATTTACTCTGTGCCAAACTTTAAGGATACTCCTAGACAAACAACAGTAGTTTAAAGGATGTAGTCCCTGCCTACGATTGGTTTAAAATCGGACCAGTGAGGGGCACTTGGGTGGCTTAGTAGGTTAAACATCCCACTCTTGATTTCAGCTCAGGTTATGATCTCACAGTTGTGAGATGGAGCCCTGGGGCTCCACAATGACAGCGCAGAGCCTGCTTGGGATTCTCTCTCTCTCTGCCTCTGTCTCTGTCTCTCTCTCCATCTCTCTCTGCCCCTCCCCTGCTCATTCTTGCTCTCTCTCAAAATAAACAAAGAAACCTTTTTAAAAAATTAAAAAAAAAAAAAAAAAAATCAGACCAGTGAGGGGCAGTACCTGGCTGGCCCAGTCTGAAGAGCACACAGCTCTGATGTCAGGGTCCTGAGTTCAAGCCCCACGTTTGCGTGTAGAGTTACACACATACGTACGTACATACATACATACATACATACATACATACACAAATATGCTAAAGAAATAAAATCAAACCAGGGCAAAAATCAAACATAATTAAGAATGCTTGAAATGAACTCTTAAATTCAATTAAAATTCAGAAAAGAAAGATGAGGGGGGGCTGGAGCAAAGGGAGGATTTCACCCACAAGGCTGGATGTCAGCAGAGAAGAACCTTAAATCCAGATAATACAATCACCTGACAGCTGCCAGTAGGGTTACAGATTCCCACTGTTCACAGAGCCATTCTTTCCACATCAAACATCTAATTTAACCATTAATCTCCAGTATGACCTTGCTACCTTCACCAAGACTGGATTCAATACAAACAATCTCTCTCCTCTCCTCTGGCCAACTCAGAGCACATACTCGCACTTGCTAACTTTTCTCCAAGGAAATGAGCTGGTCCTCCTCCCTTTCAAGGCCAGCCCTTTAACAGTCTCCTTGACCTTTCCTGTCCTGCTTCTTCAGGGATCTCATTTCACACTGAGAAGCTGTACATCATAGAAGTTAAGAGCAAGGCTCTGAAATAATTCAAGTTGGATTCAAATCTTTGGCTCAACCACTTTAACTGTGGGCCCTTGAGCGAGCAAGTACATGGGAATCACGTGCAAAATGAGGAGGTTAAGAAAAACAGTACACTAACTAATCACTCTATCAGTGCTGCTCTGCTCCTGCCCCACCGGACACCCAGTCTCCACATGGGCCCTCTTGGGTGTGGCGGCCCCAGGGTTCCATCTCAGAGTCACTCATCTTTCCACTTGGCATAGCTCCATGCTCATTGCTTCTTTCGTTCTTACAGGTACAGATTGCTTCCTGATCCATCTGAGACTTTTATTAAACTGCCCACCAGATATTTCCTCCTGGGTAAGTCCGCAGGCCCTTCATATTTGACTATTTTTTTTTCTTTTGTCTGTTGATGAGCCTACCAACCACCCATGCAGTCACCTGAGTCAGGAACCCAGTCTTTACATCCCTGATATTTGCCTGAGAGCAGCCACCTGCTGAGATGGCTAAGAGCATGGGCTCTACAAAGAGTCAGACTGTCTGCGTCCTGGTCACAGCAACTACTGTGACCTTGGGTGGGCCAGCAATTCAATTCCTTTTCTGTAAAATAGGGATGATAATCCCTGACTCTCAGAGTTGCTGTGAGGACTAAATGAGATACTACAAGTGCTGCTTTTAGAACAGCGTCCAGCACCTCGAGGAAGCTTCACTGCTGCAGTCATTCCTTGCCTTCCCTACATTCCCATATACAATCCTGATTCTATCCTCTGGTATTTTCACCTCAAGTGCTTCTTGCCGTTTCTATCACAGTGCTGTTACTCAGACTCTTCTCATCTCTCACCTAAACTACGAATGCAAAATAATAGAAGAAAAAAAATAAAACAACAACAACAAATAAATAAACTACTCATGCAGCCTTCTATCTAAGTGGTCTTCTGCCCCAGATCTTGTGCCAATCATACACAGTAGCTAGTGATCTACGAAGAGCCGGAAGTTGGCTAGGTCACCTGTCTCATATTTGAAACTCTTAAATGAAATCCTCACCACCTAGAGGATTGAGTATGAGCTTCCAGCAAGGCTTAGTAACAGGCCCTTCGTGATTTGGACCTTACCTACAGCCTGCATCCACCCCCACCACTTTGGGCCTCACACTCTAAAAACACCAAATAGCACTGCTTGCTATATTCTATTTCTACCATGCTGTTCTGTGCCACTGCTAATAATGTCTCCTGCCTAAAATACAGCCCCTCAACTTGAGAAACCTCCAGTTGTTCTTTAAGCCTCAACTAAGATCACAGCTCCAGGAAGCCGTTCGTGTCCCCCTACCAAAACCTGAATCAGGTAGGCTGCTCCGGTTTATGGAATAAACCCTGAGAATGGGAACCAAATCTTGTGCATCTTTGTATCACAAGGATCTAGAATGCTTCAGGGCAGCCAGCAGGTACCCTCGGATGTTTGCTGATGTAAACAAAATGAAAACCTCTGTAGGGCAGGAATTAACGTCCTTGATGAGCACACTGCGGGGTGCCTGCCTGGCTGAGTTGGTAGAACATGTGACTCTTAATCCTGAGGTTGTGAATTCAAGCCCCACACTGGGTACAGAGATTACTACAATAAATACATAAATAAGAAAAAAAAATTTTAATAGATGAGCAAACAGAGTCTCTGAGAGGTTAAGAGACTTAACCCAGCTTGAAGAGGTAGGATTTGAGCCCAAATCTACATAATTCCAGAGCTTTTGCACTAGGTAGCACGGTCTCCCTGAGATGTTCCCAGTCAGGGAAAAAAAGTACAAGCAAACTGCAAAAGGCAGAACAACCAAAGAGTGTCCATGAACCACTAAACATATGAGGTAGGAGTCAGGCTAAGTTGACTGGGCCCAGGTTATACAAAGCCAGTAGTTCTCAACTCTCCCTGACTTCTAGACTCACTTGGAGAACTTTCAAACCCCCCCTAATATTCAAAGCACAGATGGGATTGAGAACCACTGTGTTGGGCCTTGAAAACCAGTCAGAAGAGTTAGGCTTTGCAGTGCCAGATAGGTGAAAAGTACTGTAAGTCCTCAAAGCAGAGAGGGAAGGGAGGAGAGTCGGCCTGGTCACTGTAACACTGGTGGCACCCATCACTGGACTGAGGCAGTGACAGAACTGCATCACACACCGCTCAGTATTAGATCATGGTTCCCCATTCTCCGGCGCTCCCAACCATATGAGGAAGTCACGATCCCCATCCGGTTTCATTTTCCCACACCAAGGGCCTGCCTCCATGTTTAGAAACCATCCTTCCCTGCAAACAAATTCTCCCTCCAGATGCCTCTAGGGGGCACTGTGGTTGGGGAAATGTCAAAAAGGCAAGCGCTCAGACTGTTAATAATCTGGCGGCTTGCCTGCAGGAATTTCTTTCCTTAGAAGGTTTTGAATTCAAGTCAAAAATCAATTTGTGACTGTGATATTAAGTGAGCCAACCCACGTGTCTTCACTGCAGAAGAATTAAAAAAAAAAAAAATCCAGGTATGATTTTTCTCCTAAAACCCAAACAAGATGAGCTTTAAAAAATTTCATTTGGGGGGCACCTGGGTTGCTCTGTAGGTTAAGCAGCCGAGTCTTGATTTCGGCTCAGGTCATGATCTCACGGATCATGAGATCAAGCACAGAGTGGCTTGGGATTCTCTCTCCCTCTCTCTCTGCCCCCCCCCCCCATGCACATGCGCACTCTCTCGCCATCTCTCTCTCTCTCTCAAAATAAATAAATGTTTTAAAATTTTCATTAACATTTACCTTCTTCCACAGAGCCTATACCACACTCTGTGTGTGGTAGTTACCATGTATGAAACAGGACCCTTATTCATTGCCTATAAGGAAAGACACTAATAGTATCATGTGATGACATAATCTTCAGAGGTTTTGGGGTTTGTTTTAATTTTTTTTTTTTTTTTTTTTTTTTGAGACAGTGAAAGCGCAAGCAGGGGAAAGGCAGCAAGAGAGAGGAACAGAGGATGTGAAGCGGGCTCTGCCCTGACAGCAGAGAGGCCAACGTGGGCCAGGACTCACAAACTATGAGATCATGACCTGAGCTGAAGTCAGACGCTTATCCGACTGAGCCACCGAGGTGCGGCGCCCCTAAAGTTTTATTTTTTAAAAGGGGGTTGCACCTGGGTGGCTCAGTCGGTTAAGCACCCGACTTTGGCTCAGGTCATGATCTCGTGGTTGACAAGTTTGAGCCCCACATCAGGCTCTATGCTGGCAGCTCAGAACCTGGAGCCTGCTTTGGATTCTGTCTCCCTCTCTCTCTGCCCCTCCCCTGCTCATTCTCTCTCTCTCAAAAATGAATAAACATTAAAAAAATTGGGGGGGCACCTGGGTGGCTCAGTTCATTGAGTGTCCGACTTTAGCTCAGGTCATAATCTCGTGGTTGATGAACTGGAGCCCCGCTTCAGGCTCTGTGCTGACAACTCAGAGCCTGGAGCCTGCTTCGGATTCTCTGTCGGTCTGTCTCTCTGTCCCTCCCCTGCTCATGCTCTTTCTCTGTCTCAAAGATAAAATAAACATTAAAAAGCATTTTTTTAATAAAATAAAAATACTGTCCAAAAAATACAGGCAAGAAAATACCGATAAAAAAATATAAATAAAAACTGATCTCTGTAGAAGCCAGGTAGATGGGGTGTCAAATGCTATTCTACTTCTGTATATATTTAAGTTTTTGTATAAAAGAAAATTAAAATGTTTTTTTTGAAAATTAAAATGTTATAGCATGAGAATGTAGAGAAAGAAGTTATTTTCACCTTGGAGAAACTGGTCAGAAAAAGCTACACAGGAGCTGGGAACGACTATTATAGCAACAATTAAATGGTCTATGATGTAATTAATTATCAGATGCTTACTACATGCAAGCACTATGCTAAGCAGTGTGCATAGATCCTCTCTGATCCAACATTTTTCAAAGAAGCTCTCCTGAGACAGCTTTCAAACGTACAGATTCCTCCTGAGCATCATCTCAAACCTTCTAAAGCCGAATCACTCAGGGTAAAGGCTAACCTGTGACAAAGCCCCAAGGCAATTCTGCACTTTTAATTAGTCATGCAGGTGGTGTACAGATACAAGGAAGAAAACCACCCCCTCTCCTCCCCACAGTAACCCTCCAAGCGAGAGATTAACTACACTTTACAGACTGGCAAGCTCAAGGAGAGTGGTCGACCACCTAGGATGTGCTAGTGCCATTTGGCCAAAGGCCACAGCTCCACTAATGCCAGCCCTCCTTGCACAGCTTGGCGGGGGCATGTAGGAATTCAGAGTATCTCCAAGGGTTTATATTTATACTAAAGAGGGCAGACTGTGAAGAAAGAGTGTTGAGGTGGCCAAACATCTCACCTGTTCAGGATCCAACATGGTCAGTCCTTTCACTCCCGCCAGAATGAGATTCTTGGCAATTTCAGCCCCGAGTCCTTTCATGCCGACAAGAAGCACCCGCGAGGCCCGCAGCCTATAAGGCAGACAACTGTTAACCGGATGCCACAGAACAGTGGAAGCTTCACCGAGTCGTTAAGAACAAGCCAAAGCAACAGCGAAGTAACTTTGGTTTTCATTAAATGCACGGAAGCACCAAGGCCTCAAATCTAGGAAAGAGGCTCTAATTCATCCTACAAAGAATTAATTCAATAAACATTTACTGGGGCACCTGGGTGGCTCTGTCAGTTAAGCGTCCGACTTCGGCTCAGGTCATGATCTCACGGTCCGTGAGTTCGAGCCCCGCATCGGGCTCTGTGCTGACGGCTTGGAGCCTGCTTCAGATTCTGTGTCTCCCTCTCTCTCTGCCCCTCCCCCGTTCATGCTCTGTCTCGCTCTGTCTCAAAAATAAATAAACATTTAAAAAAATAAAATTAAAAAAAAATAAAAATAAAAATAAACATTTACTAAGCACCTACTATGCCAGGCACTCTTCTCAGGTATAGAAATATATCAGTAAACAAAACAGACATAATCCCTGTCCTCCTTGAGCTTACATTTTATGATAGGGGTAGACAAATATATGATATACCAAAAAGTGATGAAAATCAGGGGCGCCTGGCTGGCTCAGTCGGTAGAGCATGTGACTCCATCTCAGGGTCGTGAATTCAAGCCCCACGATGGGTGTAAAAAAGTGATGAAAATCAAGCAGGATATGGATCAAGAATGATGGAGGATGCTATTGCATGCAGACTGAAGGCCTTTCTGAAAAGGTGCTGAGCAAAAATCAAAATGAAATGGACAAATATACAGATATTTGGGAGAAGAGCATTCCAGGAAAGAAAACAACAAGTGCAAAAGCCCTGAAAGCAGACGGGTGCACAGCATGTTTCAGGGACAGGAAGGACAGAGCGGCTAAATAACAGTGAGGAAAGGGAAGAACAGTAGGAGACGGGTCACAGACGGAACCGGGGCCACGTCATGAAGGCTCTTACGGGTATTGTAAGGGCTGGATCTTACTCTGAGCACCATAGAAAGCCATGGGATGGGGGACCCTTGGGGGAAGGGTGTCCCAGTTGAGAGAGGGGACGATGGCCCGGACTGGTATGATAGCAGGAGAGGAGGTGAGAAAAGTTACTATCTAGGCTGTCACACACAAGCAAAAGCGTAGCAGCATGAAAGAGGGTGTATTTGGAAAGTGTTCGGATCATCCTAGTCTGTAAAGTCACAAAAGATGAGGCTAAATGAAGGTAGTCAGAGGCTGGGCTCTCAAGAAGTCCAGAGTTAGGGGCGCCTAGGTGGCTCAGTTGGTAGAGCGTCCAACTTCGAGTCAGGTCACGAGCTCACAGTTCCCGAGTTCAAGTCCCATGTCGGACTTGCTGCTGTCAGCCTGTCAGCGCAGAGCCAGAGCCCACTTCAGATCCTCTGTCCCCTTCTTTCTGCCCCTCCCCCACCTGCGCTCTCCCAAAACTAAATAAATATAAAAAAAAAAAAAAAGAAAAAAGAAAAAGTCTGGACTTAAATCTGAGGTCAGTGGAAGGCAGTATAGCTCCACGAAATCTTAGCTGAAAGAAACCCCTTGACCCAGAAGTGTTTCACAATCAGAATGTTTCAGAATTGGTTTACATCACGTACTATGAAACAACCCCATCAGGGTCTTGGGCCGCACTCTGTAATCAAACCCATTAATATTTTTGCAGCAAATGTATGACTATTCACACTGAAAAGGGATAGTTAGAACTAAGAACAATCTCCCATAAATTCAAGTTTGGCTGGCTGAAGAGTTTGCTCTTAATTTATGAAATGAACCCATTTTCAACTTGTACTAGTATTAGGGAGAACATGCAGAAAAGAAACTCTTTCAAAAGTAGTCCTAGGGGCGCCTGGCTGGCGCAGTCGGTTAAGCGTCCGACTTCAGCCAGGTCACGATCTCGCGCTCCGTGAGTTCGAGCCCCGCGTCAGGCTCTGGGCTGATGGCTCAGAGCCTGGAGCCTGTTTCCGATTCTGTGTCTCCCTCTCTCTCTGCCCCTCCCCCATTCATGCTCTGTCTCTCTCTGTCCCAAAAATAAATAAATGTTGAAAAAAAAAAATTAAAAAAAAAAAAAAAAAGTAGTCCTAAAAATTAGGAGCACTTGCATGTAATTAGAGGCCTTTAATGAGGATGGTGGCTGATAAGAGGGTCCTGCACTGATTCTTGATACTAGAGATACTGAATTTCCTTCACTAATACAATCAAAGGGTAAAATGTGGGGAGGGAGAGAATAGGGACAGAATTTCCTTCAAAGACATATGTCTGGGTCTCAGCTTCTCTGTTATCGCTTTTATTCTATGGGGACCTTCCACCATCAACCACAGGCTAGCGGACACGAGCCTTTCAAGTGACAATGTCACTTCGTTAGAATAGGAGGGAATTGGAAAGAGGGCCTACAAGATACAAGCAAGGTAAATAACATGCTAGCAAAGCGTACATTGCTTACCAAAGATTTATACCAGTGGGTGGAGGAAGAAAGGCCACGTGGCTTTCCAGAGGAGCTCCAATCCCTCCAGAATCAGCATATACTAACAGGCAATGTTTCCAAAAAGAACCTTTGATATCAGAAAGGCTGAACACTCTTGCATTTGGCTGTACCTTCCAGGGCTCTGGAGTCACTGTCGGTCTACAAGTCTTCCCTGACACTGCCCCTCCCGCACCCACCCCGGAATTCCAGAATGCCAAGTTCCCTTTCAGTCCAAGAATGGCCCAGACTGGTCCAGCTCTCTTCTGGGAAGCTGTATCTTCAAACAATACCAACAGCCTCCTAATCCCTAGACCCCCCTGAATTCTTCTCAGGCTCTGTTCTCTCTGGCGTTCCTTCCTCAAAGGGCACTGCTAATCACTAAATGCCCTCTAGGTCTGGAGACAGGTTTGAATTCTGGTTCTGCCACTTCCCAGCTGGGTGACATGGACAAGCTGCACAAGCTGTCTGAACTTCTGTAAAGTTCATCTGTAAAATGGGGATACCAGATCTGACATCTTGTCAATGAATCCCCTTGACAACCTGGTAAAATGTGTGTGCAAAAGCATCTAGCGTAATACCAGGCACGTAACAGATGCTCGATATGTTACTTCAACTTACTGAACTCTTCTATCCCACTCCTAATTACCAAAAGGGCTTAGTGGTAGGTGTGACTCTGATTTTCAAAAAAACAAAAACAAAAAAAATCTCACAAAAAAATTCTAAAGCTGCATTTAAATTCCTTCAGTGCTGGCTCCCTTCCACCTGCCCAGCCTTCTCCCCTACCACCACCAGATTACCGCCACCCAGATCTGCCTTCCATTTATTACCCCCCCCCCCCTGGGGCCTTTCATCCCAGCATTCCACACACCTGAAATGCTCTCTCTTCCTCTCTAGGCCAAGTCAAGCTTGTCCCCAGACTTCAAACCCCAATTCAAATGCCATTTCCTCAAAAAGTCCCCCTCTCTATGGCTGACTGAAGTACGCGCTCCCTCCTCTGAGCTCTTAGAGCACTGCAACATATAAATGTCTCTGACATAAATCACATTTAGCCACGTGGCCTCTCCAAGATCCCTACATCCTCTGTAGAGCTCTAGACTCTGACTGCTTGGGAGGTTTTTTTTTTTTTCAACTGCCATCAACACTGAAGATCACATTTGTATTTTGAATCCTTAACGATGCTAAAGACCCTGAGCCGACAGCTTACTTATGGCTCAATTACACGAAAAATACTTAAAATAGTACCTGGCACATAGTCACCACTTAATGAATGGCAGCTATTAGTATTCATATCTGATGTACGAGTACTTCTAGGAATTAATCCTACAGAAATACTCTGGTGTGCACAAAGATCACATACAAAGCCATTCACAGCAGCATCCGTCCGCTTCCTTTCACCTCCACAGACACCATCGCTTCTCACCTAAGAAACTACAACAGCTTTACACCTGGTTTCCCTGCTTCCATTCTTGCCCCCTACAATCTGCTGTCCCTGCTCAGGAAGAGAGATCTTTTAAACCAGATTATGCTGCTCTCTCTCCTGCTCAAATCTTTCAGTGGTTCCCTATGCAAGTTCCTTAACCCAAAGCCCTGCCTACCGCTCCCATCTCGGATCGTCCTATTCTCCCCACTGCTAATTTGCCCACAGCCAGGCTCCAGCCTTTGGACTTTGGCATTAGTTGTTCTCTGCTTCTTCCCCCATTTTTTGCACGAGCAATTCTTTAGGTCAACTCAACTGTCACCACCTTAGAAGCCCACACTGGCCACTTAATCCAAAATTATGTCCACGCCCTCTTCTATCTAGAATTTGTTCATCTGTTCACTGTCCACTTCTCCATTTGAATGTAAGCTCCAGAAACCACCCTATCCCTAACACCTATGACTATGCTTGGCACTTAGTTTACTGTTACTCAAACAGCTGCTGAATTAATAGAATACATTAAAAGAAACCCGGCTGTCCATCCGCAGAATTACATAAATCTACTACATAATAAAATAGTAACAGTTAACATTTACTGAAACCTCACTATGTGCTGGGGCCCTTGTCTGACTCAATCAGTAGAGCATACGACACTTGATCTTGGGGTTAAGTTGGAGCCCCGTGTTGGGTGTAGAGATTACTTAAAAATAAAGTCTTAGGGTAGCCTGGGTGGCTCAGCTGGTTAAGCATCTGACACTTTGATTTCAGCTCAGATCAAGACCTCAACGTTCTTGGAATTGAGCCCTGCATTGGGCTCTGTGCTGACAGCGAGGAGCCTGTTTGGGATTCTTTCTCTTTCTCTCTCAAATTAAATAAATAAATAAATAAATAAATAAATAAATAAATAGATAGATAGATAAATAAATAAAATCTTAAAAAAAAAAAACCTCACTACGTGCTAAGCACTCTTCACACGTATTATGTTATTTAATCCTCAGGGCAATCTTACGAGCTGGTAACTTCTTATCTCTATTTTGCAGCTGAGAAAACAGGCACAAAGAGGTCAACTAGCTTACCCCAGATTACATAGCTGGGAATTGGCTAATAATCAGCTACTTGGTA